TTCACTGACACGAGATCAACACGTACAAGTGATTGTGTGCGTTGTATGAACTGATCGGATTTACATAAGAGGCATATTATTATCAACCCAGATAATGCTTAGCGCGTTGCGTCAAAAAACCCTCATGACCGAGTTCGAATGGTACTCATGGTACGAAAACCAGGACGTCTTTTCGATTGTACTGAGCCACACCAATGGTAGCATATTGCAATGTGGTCGATTTGAGTTAAGGTACTAGTTAATAACAATAATAATAATAATAATAATAATAAAGGTATAATTCACGAAGCCCCGTGAAGCATGATCACATGAGTTGGGGCGCCACGTGACCGGCTGTCGAGAGCTGTCTAAAGTTGACACTGGACAGGAACAGATGATGGTCTGCGAGGAACTAAAGTCAAAGCCGTTATCCGTTCCCAGGCAGGGAAGAGCACAACTACTGCCTAGACAAGCTCAGTTTTCCAACCTGAGTGCTAAAGTCACCTGCAGGGAAAACGAATGAGTTCGGTGAGTTAATTATAGAAATCGTCTTTTTGTGTGTCAGAACTGCAGTTGGTCGGGGGATATGTCGATACGATGGACGAACACCTTTTGCTGTTGCTTACCTTCCGGACGCTTATTAAACCCTGGAGACGCACGCATATAACCGACTGTTGACAGTAACCCAATCGATAAGGAGGAGTAAAATACCTACCCCGCACTGACCTATTGAACGAGCTTCGTCATCGCCTGATGTGCAAAGAACGTACCTCGAAGACAAATCTGGCGCGCTCAAGTGGCTTATAGAAGTTGGATTCTCAGTTCAAATCTCGATCCCGAAGGACTTCATTGTGTGTGTCCCGCAAGTTTTGACCTACCTGTGTCAGAGTTCTCACGTTAAAGNTTAAAGGCCACCAGATTCAGTGATTGACGAGGCTTCAGAATATGCAATTTATTTCGTGGCAAATTACTTACAGAGCTATTTGGTAACAGCCTTTGGGGAGCGACATCCAAATTGAACGAGAACCATTAGGATTCTCAATCAAAGTATTTAGTTTTACCAAGAACCTAACCGCAAGCGAGGTGGAGGACCATTTACTCGGATAAATCACTCCTTCGCCGTTTTTACCGTCAATTCTAGTCAAACCCCCAAACTGCAGGACCGGGAGACTGGACTTCATCTTAACTCCACCCTTTGACCTTCTAGGCATGATTAGATCTACGGCTTGACAAAAACCTTCCCGTGTAGTTTGTTGGGTCAGGAAGGTGCACAAGCCATCGAACTACGTCAAGGTACGGTCTCGTCGGGAAGGTCCCGAAAAAAAGTAACGAAAGTTCGGACCAAAAAAGTAAACCTTTTACTAAAAACAACCGAACCAGCTGAGTTGAAATGTGATAGGAATTTGATGGCCAACATGATTAAAATCGGAATCACAGAGAATTCACGAACCTACACAACCGGTGACCAGCGGGGCACTCATTGAACTGCCATTGAGTAAAGCAGCCGGTCGTAGTTGCCAGCTAGCCACAGAAGTATTTGCGGCTCCCGGGGCAGCAACGCAAAGACCAAGTGATCCATCCAACGCTGGTCCTCGACTGCCCCATGTGTAAGCAGCTGGGACGGCTAGATGAGATGAATGGAATCCCTCAAACTGGTCGGTATCGACCATGAGACCACCATGATCATGAGCGACTGTTGTGCCTGATGCATCATCACAGGGGATCGAATAAGGTTGGCTGTACAGAACGCGCATCATTTCCGGAAAGACCAACGGTGCTACACCTAAGGGTAGAATAGCAAAAACATAAATACCTAAACTGGTGGGTATGTAATAACTGAAATGACAAAATCTCACGGAAAAGGTGCAATCGCAAGATGACGACATGACACAGATTTCCGTGTGATGACAAGCAGACAGGATAAACCCCATAGTCACGCGGATCTCCTGGTCAGTGATGGAAACCGGTAACCTAAGTATCGGCACTTGGAGTAGTGAACCACATGAGGCCGCGGTAAAATAGGCTGGTATTGAACCGGACCACAGCAGAGCTGCCTACCGCCAACGTCGGG